CAAAAATGGCAGAAATCTCAAGAAAGAAAGAAAGAAAGAAACAAACAAACAAGATAACACGGGATGCGCTAAAGACACCTGAAAATGGAACTGGCAAAACGGGTTCTAATTCTGCTGGCAGCTAAAACTGCTTTTAGTCATATTATGCCGAAATTCCTGTTGAAATGGTAATGGTAATATAAGCCGTTTACCTATAAGGAAACATTTGACATTTTTCGGTAGAAATTTATAAAATCTTTATCTTAAAATAAATTTTCAGCAAAATAGGTTTTTCAAGTCCAGTAGCTGTTATCGCTCTTTCCAGTACATATGGGTGTTTCCTTCTTAAGCTTTTGTTTGAAGTCGTGTGGAATATCAACATTCCCTCTTTCTCAGCATGCTTAGTGTGTTTCTATCGATATCGGTCTGTTCATAGCTTTATCTTTCTATATCTAAGTTTATTTTTATCTTTCTTGTTCTTGTCTGTTTTATGGTAATGGGAGCCGTTTCTTTATAAGGAAACATTCGGCATTCATTGACCGGGCAACCAGTGCCATCGTCGGTTGAAATTTGTAAAATCTTTCTCTTAAAATAATCTTCAGTATCTGTCTATATTTCTGAGATGAGGTATTATGTACATTATTTACATTATTCGGACTATTGTCCTCATCTTTGTCGCCATATTTATTACAACGTTTCGCCCGTTGTACGCTCCGGCCTTCTTCAGGTGGTTGGAATGTCGAACTGAACCCTTTATTTCGCTCACTGGGGTAGACCGTTTTAGTTCCACGTGCCATGTTTAATGAATGTCAGTTATCAGTTATCTCCTAAAAAATTTTCCCTCTGAAAAATCTCCACTGCCTTAACCGGGTATTGAACTCACATACTTTGGGTTACTGTCATATAATCTATTCTAACGCGTTTATCTACTGTGCCATCTGTCCTTGAGGACCCATGTCCATATGAGGAGGGAACAGTTAAAAATTAAAAGTTTTTTTTTTAAAATAACTGAAAAAATTAGTGATTTTAAAAGTTTTTAATTTATATTGAGTTTAAAGTAACACAAAACTTGGTGAATTGATTTTTTTTTTGTTTTAAATTCAGTTTAAAATAACTCCAAAACTTTATGAATTGATGAGATCAATTTTATTTATTCAAAATGCCAAGAAATCAGTGTTAAAGTGAGAGGTTTCGTGAAAGTAAGGTTTTGAAGTTCCGCAGGGTTTGTGATTTAAAGAACTCAAATTCTCGACCTGAATTGGAATGACGGCCCAAACCGGTCATTTTGGCGGGAAATTGGACTTATAACCAGAAGCAGAGTTAAAGTGAGGTTCTGATGTTCCATGGAGTGAACTGAGGAATTCAAAGTTGTTTAATCAAAATTATCATTGCTGTTTTCTAAGCTGAACCAGAGGTCCCTTTGTGTTTTTTTTTCATTTTTAATTAGCCAACCGTTTTCCTAGCTTAAAAATCCGCTGGGAGTGAGGCTTTTAAGCTAGTATTTACATAAATCTGACTTTAATATTTTTATATACCTTCTGGTAAAACATAATTAATTACTTTCGAAACAATCTCATATTTCAATAAATTTATTTAACGTATAAAAGTAGGTATACAGTAAATATGATTGATATGTTTGTATAATCAGTACAATACGTTTTATTACTGTATACCTACATTTATCCGTCCTGGGTATGACGATAAACTACATTCGCGTCCAGGGTAAGACGATAAACTACGTCCAGCAGCAAGACCTCTGATCAGAAGGCTTTGAGGAGCGTGAAACCATCTCTTAATTGCTGGTGTTCCCAGGTCCACCCTGACCCGGGGTGGTAGCACCTGTTAGGGGCCCAGCTATGGGCAAATAGTTAACCCCGAAACTGAGGTAAAAAGCATTAAAAAAGTGTAAAAATAGGTTTTAATACCAAAAAATAAAAAAAAAACTTTGTAAAAAAAATATTACCAGAAATAAATTTTTGAAGAAAAAAAATTATTACCAGCAATACATTTTTAAAAATAATATTACCAGCTATACATTTTTGAGGGAAAAATATTACCAGAAACAGATTTTTGACAAAGCAATATATTACCAGGAAAAAAAAAAGTTGTCGGCATTAAATGACCCATTGAGGTTGTTGATATGCCGTAAAACAAAACAAACCTACATTTGCATCGCCTGCATTTGTTTTTATATTTGTTTGTAAGGCGTATTTACTTTCATAACAGCATAATATTTCAATCAATTTGTTTTTATATCCTTTCTAGTAAAACGTGTTGCAGACCCGGCAGCGTGCAGTGCTGGTTTATTACAAAGTGGCCTTTTGTGCCAGACACCACACTAAACTACCGAGTCTACAAGCAATGTAAAAAAAATAAATATATGCGTGAATGAACAGTGAGAGGAAGGGGTCAATCAACAAGTGCATAAAATAAAATATATTAAGATAGCCGACACAGAATGATAGGAAAAAGACTGGATTCCAACAAGAGTAATTTTATTAAATGCAGGAAAAACAAGTAACTTATCCCGTAAAGGGATCAATGAATATGTTCCGCGCCAAAATTAGAAAACAAGATGGCTAAAATTTGGGAAAAGTTCTTGAAGAAGAAGAAAGGTTCCAGATAAGTCAATGTACATGATAATATACATACAAGGAAAAATACTCACTGCGAGTTTTTTTGCTAATGTGAGTGAAATGTTATGTATATTTTTTTTTCTTTTTTTTTCAAGTACTGGTTCAAAACAGATTTATGACAAGACCCAAAGTGGACGACGAATTAATATTTTGGATGTTTTGCATCGTCTCGGAGAAGGACTTTGAATGACGAGCCGAAGGGGGACGACGAATTAATATTTTGTATGTTTGCATTGTCTCGTAGGAGAATTTTTGAATGACGAGCCAAAAAAATGACGCAGAATTAATTATTTGGTGGTTTTTTTATTGGTTTTAAATGTTGAATACTAAGTTTCTGCCGACGACTGTGTCGTGTCTCTAACGTCTTCTGGTCGAAAACGGAGAAGGTCTGATCTGCGATTAAAAAGTTGTTCGTCAATAGGATATCCCTGTCTGTATTTATTGGTTCGCTGACGAGGGATAAAAATAAGCCATTATTAGTTGAATACGAAGTTTTGCTCACGACCGTGTCGTGTGTCTCTAACGTCTTCTGGTAGAAAACGGAGAAGGTCTGACCTGTCAAGACGAGAAGAAGTCTTGGTAGAGTGTGAAGTCAAGAAGTTGTTCGTCAGTAGGATATCCCTGTCTGTATTTATTGGTTCGCTGACGAGGGATAAAAATAAGCCATCATTAGTTGAATACGAAGTTTTGCTCACGACCGTGTCGTGTGTCTCCATAACGTCTTCTGGTAGAAAACGGAGAAGGTCTGATCTGCGGGCAGCTTCAAGACGAGAAGAAGTCTTGGTAGAGTGTGAAGTCGCCATTGTCGAAATAAGATATTCCGGCCCGCATATGGGTTAAGGGCACGGAATAAATGAGTTGCCCATCTAGTCGGGTCGAAAGTCGAGAGGCAACTGCTTGCAAACGCTAGCAGTTTTTTTGAGACGCCGAAAAACGCGCGGGAAAATTCAAAATCTGTTATGAGTCCAAATCAGTAGGAGCTAGCGAGGTTACTGCTATGTTTAGCTGTGAGTGGAAGGTAGGGGTGAAAAACCGCGCGCACACACGCACGAGTGTGAAAGGAAGGGAGGAAACTCACGCGCGCGTAAAATATAAATGGAATTAATGTGTTAATTCCATAAACGTAATAATTTTACGAGGACTGTAATATTTAAATACACATTTGTTTTATATCATTTCTGATAAAAACCTCATTATGTTCCGAAGCCCATAAATAAATTTAATTTCAATTTGTTTTTATATCTTTTTCTGATAAAAAAAAAACGTCAGTACTTTCCGGACAAACTAATATTTCAATAAATTTAATTTATATTCTTTCTTGTAAAATGTTGTTAGTTTGTGAACGCGAATATTTCAATAAATCTAACTTTTTCATATGCTTTCTGGTAAAACAAAATTAGTTTCCGAACATCCAACTATTATTTCAAGAAATTTAAGTTAAATTTGATTTTATTCTTTCTGTTTAAAAAAAAAAAAATGTAATTAGTTTCCCAAATATTTAATTTAATTTCAATTAAAAAATTTGCTTTAAATTTGTTTTCATATCCTTTTCCGAGAGAAACGTTTGTACCTCCCAAACACTCTAGACTAGTATTTCAATAAATTTAATTTAAATTTGTTTTTATATCTTTTTCTGATAAAAAAAAACGTCATTACTTTCCAAACAACCCAATATTAGGTTGGTGCAAAAATAATGACGTAATAATGTCGTTTTTTTTTACGTATAACGTCAAAAAACGACATTATTACGTCATTTAAATAAAATTTATTGAAATATTAGGTTGGTGCAAAAATAATGACGTAATAATGTCGTATTATTACATCATTATTTTTGCACCAACCTAATATTTCAATAAATTTTATTTAAATTTGTTTTTTTTATCCTTTTCTGATAAAAAGAAATACGTCAGTACTTTTCGAACAACCTAATATTTCAATAAATTAAACTTAAATTTGTTTTTATATCTTTTTCTGATAAAAAACGTAATTAGTTTCCGAAGTCCGAACACCCGCACAATATGATAACGTCGATCTTGTCCTTTGTCCTTATGGATATATAAACTCTTGACATGATTCACAATTCATGCTCGGAAGTCGATTCCGATTTTTACCGAAACTCTCGCCACCATTTCTTTTTAAGCAGGAAATTTTCCTTTTACTTGACACCTGAACGCCCTTCTAAAAGAAACAGGTAACACCTTCACAATAACAACAAATTAATTGAATTGATTCTTTATTTAGAAACAATGCTATTGTGTGAGAGAAAAGCCTAAAATTATCTACTTGTTAAGTACACAGCAATTTGACTCACACGGTTTCACCTTCACGGTATATTTTGTGGACGGTAAGAACGCCTCTTTTCAAATAAACATTACCAGCCTCCATTTTTCACCGCAATGTTAATTTTGTATATATAATTTTTGCTTACCTCGTACGGTATATGTTTCTTATTTAATTTGTAAACACATCACTCAAAATACGGTTTAAATTTAGCGCCTAATTCAACGTATTAGCCAGCTGCTGTTACTAATTTTGGACATAGGAGAAAACGAGTCATAGCATCTAATTCAATGACCAGTGAAAATCCATAATACCCGCAGCCTCTTTCAAATAAATAAATAAAAACTGTAAAAAGCCAGAAACCAGGTAGATCAGCAGCCAGGTCCTGACCGAAGCGTAAATACTGTTGGGGATGTCAACAAGGTTGTGGTTTTGTGTGTGTGTGTATTTTTAGGCGAAGTTGCGTGTTCAGTATGTAAATAAAGAAAGTGTAGAAGCAGCATTGTTTCTGCTACGAAGGCTTATTCCTTTTATGTTGACTGTCTTGGAATAAAGCTAAAGGGTCTCTTTAGTATGTCCGTTTTCCTTTTGGGTCCAAAAATACTTTATGGGAAGTCAGGATACGAACGGGTAAAGATGGTCGAGCTCAAGTCAGCTTCGCACACCGTTGAAGGACTGAACCTCTACTTCAGTGGTTCCCAAGCTTTTATATATATATATATATATATATATATGAAGAAATATCGTTTTAAGGTGTGCTATATTTATGGGATGAAGTGCTCAATATCAGAGACAGAGCGTATGTAAATATAAATATAAAAGTGAACATTGAAGTCAGCACTCAGAGGCGACAGGCTGTTTCATGTTGGACGCAATCGTATTGCGTCTAGCATGAAACAGCCTATCACCTCTGAGGGTTGACTTCAATGTTCACTCTCTCTCTCTCTATATATATATATATATATAAAACAGTTTGCCTCGAAAGTCTAAAATTATGCGCAAAATATCTGTAGTTGAAGGCATAAAGTTATATGCAAAATATTTAGATTTTGGCATTAAATAACCCACAGAGGTTGACATACCGTTAAACAAAACCAATCAAGCAATTAACTAAAATTAATCTACTATCACCAATCAAATGCATTTTATATTTAAAAAAAAACCTGATGAGTAACAAAAAAAAAGTAGCAGGACATTGCTTTTAGTTGCCTCGTTTTGAAATTTTCGAATGCAAGCGGCTTTCAAAAGTATGAGTTTCTTGAAGTATTTGCAGACGATAATCCCCGACTATGTTCTATTTTCGGATATGATGTGCTTTACCAATCATCTTAAGACAATATGGAGAAGGTACGAATGGTTACCAGACATAATCTAACTAATCAGCTTCATTTTTATCTACAATCTCTAATCTTTTTCTTCACCTTTGATTGTGTCAGGTGCGAAATACAATGGCGACTTCTTTAAGTAAATTAATAAAACTTACATTTTATTTTTCTAGGCTTGAATCTCTGAGAATTGTTTCAAAATAAACGCAGAAAAAACAAAAAATAATACAAAACACAGAATGTCCCGAACTTAAACAGGCATTTATTTATTTACTTATTTATTTATTTATTTATTAATTATTAGTAGTATTAGTAATAACAACATTTTATAACACTCTTCTGGGTTGATATAGTCTTCATTATTGTTATTTTATAACTAGTTTGATTCCGTCTTATTATTGTGGCTCTATACACTCTTCATTATTACTATTATTTTATTACTAGTTTGACTCGTTCTTATTATTGTTGCTTTTTATCCCAACACTCTGGCTCTATACACTCTTCATTATTACTATTATTTTATTACTAGTTTGATTCCATCTTATTATTGCTGCTTTTTATCCCAACCTCTGGCTCTATACATTCTTCATTATTACTATTATTTTATTACTAGTTTTCATTCCATCTTATTATTGTTGCTTTTTTATCCCAACACTCTGGCTCCTATACACTCTTCATTATTACTATTATTTTATTACTAGTTTGATTCCATCTTATTATTGTTGCTTTTTATCCCAACCCTCTGGCTCTATACACTCTTCATTATTACTATTATTTTATTACTAGTTTGATTCCATCTTATTATTGCTGCTTTTTATCGAAACCCTCTGGCTCTATACACTCTTCATTATTACTATTATTTTTTTTACTAGTTTGATTCCATCTTATTATTGTTTTTTTTATCCCAACACTCTGGCTCTATACACTCTTCATTATTACTATTATTTTATTACTAGTTTGATTCCATCTTATTATTGCTGCTTTTTATCGAAACCCTCTGGCTCTATACACTATTCATTATTACTATTATTTTATTAATAGTTGCATTTCATCTTATTGTTGCTTTTTATCCCAACACTCTGGCCTTATACACTCTTCATTATTACTATTATTTTATTACTAGTTTGATTCCATCTTATTATTGTTGCTTTTTTATCCCAACCCTCTGGCTCTATACACTCTTCATTATTACTATTATTTTTATTACTAGTTTGATTCCATCTTATTATTGCTGCTTTTTTTATCCCAACCCTCTGGCTCTATACACTCTTCATTATTACTATTATTTTATTACTAGTTTTAATTCCATCTTATTATTGTTGCTTTTTATCCCAACACTCTGGCTCTATACACTCTTCATTATTACTATTATTTTATTACTAGTTTTAATTCCATCTTATTATTGTTGCTTTTTATCCCAACCCTCTGGCTCTATACACTCTTCATTATTACTATTATTTTATTACTAGTTTGATTCCATCTTATTATTGTTGCTTTTTATCCCAACACTCTGGCTCTATACACTCTTCATTATTACTATTATTTTATTACTAGTTTGATTCCATCTTATTATTGTTGCTTTTTATCGAAACCCTCTGGCTCTATACACTCTTCATTATTACTATTATTTTATTACTAGTTTGATTCCATCTTATTATTGTTGCTTTTTATCCCAACACTCTGGCTCTATACACTCTTCATTATTACTATTATTTTATTACTAGTTTGATTCCATCTTATTATTGTTGCTTTTTTATCCCAACCTCTGGCTCTATACACTATTCATTATTACTATTATTTTATTACTAGTTTGATTCCATCTTATTATTGTTGCTTTTTTATCCCAACACTCTGGCTCTATACACTTTCATTATTATTATTATTTTATTACTAGTTTGATTCCATCTTATTATTGTTGCTTTTTATCCCAACACTCTGGCTCTATACACTCTTCATTATTACTATTATTTTATTACTAGTTTGATTCCATCTTATTATTGTTGCTTTTTTATCCCAACACTCTGGCTCTATACACTCTTCATTATTACTATTATTTTATTACTAGTTTTATTCCATCTTATTATTGTTGCTTTTTATCCCAACACTCTGGCTCTATACACTTTCTTTTTATTACTATTATTTTATTACTAGTTTGATTCCATCTTATTATTGTTGCTTTTTATCCCAACACTCTGGCTCTATACACTCTTCATTATTACTATTATTTTATTACTAGTTTGATTCCATCTTATTATTGTTGCTTTTTATCCCAACACTCTGGCTCTATACACTCTTCATTATTACTATTATTTTATTACTAGTTTGATTCCATCTTATTATTGCTGCTTTTTATCGAAACCCTCTGGCTCTATACACTATTCATTATTACTATTATTTTATTACTAGTTTGATTCCATCTTATTATTGTTGCTTTTTATCCCAACACTCTGGCTCTATACACTCTTCATTATTACTATTATTTTATTACTAGTTTGATTCCATCTTATTATTGCTGCTTTTTATCGAAACCCTCTGGCTCTATACACTATTCATTATTACTATTATTTTATTACTAGTTTGATTCCATCTTATTATTGTTGCTTTTTATCCCAACACTCTGGCTCTATACACTCTTCATTATTACTATTATTTTATTACTAGTTTGATTCCATCTTATTATTGCTGCTTTTTATCGAAACCCTCTGGCTCTATACACTCTTCATTATTACTATTATTTTATTACTAGTTTGATTCCATCTTATTATTGTTGCTTTTTATCCCAACACTCTGGCTCTTATTTTATTACTTCATTATTACTATTATTTTATTACTAGTTTTTATTCCATCTTATTATTGTTGCTTTTTATCCCAACACTCTGGCTCTATACACCTCTTCATTATTACTATTATTTTATTACTAGTTTGATTCCATCTTATTATTGTTGCTTTTTATCCCAACACTCTGGCTCTATACACTCTTCATTATTACTATTATTTTATTACTAGTTTGATTCCATCTTATTATTGTTGCTTTTTATCCCAACCCTCTGGCTCTATACACTCTTCATTATTACTATTATTTTATTACTAGTTTGATTCCATCTTATTATTGTTGCTTTTTATCCCAACACTCTGGCTCTATACATTCTTCATTATTACTATTATTTTATTATTACTAGTTTGATTCCATCTTATTATTGTTGCTTTTTATCCCAAACCCTCTGGCTCTATACACTCTTTCATTATTACTATTATTTTATTACTAGTTTTATTCCATCTTATTATTGTTGCTTTTTATCCCAACACTCTGGCTCTATACACTTTCATTATTACTATTATTTTATTACTAGTTTGATTCCATCTTATTATTGTTGCTTTTTATCCCAAACCCCTCTTTATTCTATACACTCTTCATTATTACTATTATTTTATTACTAGTTTTATTTCCATCTTATTATTGTTTGCTTTTTATCCCAACACTCTGGCTCTATACACTCTTCATTATTACTATTATTTTATTACTAGTTTGATTCCATCTTATTATTGTTGCTTTTTATCCCAAACACTCTGGCTCTATACACTCTTCATTATTACTATTATTTTATTACTAGTTTTATTCCATCTTATTATTGTTGCTTTTTATCCCAACACTCTGGCTCTATACACTCTTCATTATTATTATTATTTTATTACTAGTTTTATTCCATCTTATTATTGTTGCTTTTTATCCCAACACTCTGGCTCTATACACTCTTCATTATTACTATTATTTTATTACTA